TGGCTTTAATCATTGAGAGGAGGAATGAAATATGGTACAGCAAGGACGAATATGGAGATTTCCACCTAAATAATCTTGTGACCCTTCAATTATGGACCAGATATGGTAAACTGATTCAAGTTTTATGATCAGTCTACAAGATATATGATTGAAGATTCATGTGTTGGTTTGTTGAATGATTATTGGGAAAATATTTTATGATTAAACTAGGTCACCAAGTATAAAATATAGGAGACAAGGAATCAGAGTTTCTTCATGGGTAGTAAATAGAGTAGAGGATGTGGTGCATGGCATTCTTTGTATTGGGCTATTATATGATTCTTATAGCCAACAAGTTTATTCTGTTTAGGATTCCATTATCTTCCGCAATAGAAGAGAAAACCACAGAAAAACTATACTGTCTCCTCCTCTTGCAACCTCATTGTTGGCCTAGATTCTTGAGCTAGAAATCTTCTTGGTCAAATAATTCAATGCATCTGGTTATTTAACTTATTTTTGTATTAGACAATAGCGAAATGCCAGCCTTTCTTGTTCATAAACAAATCGTAAGAAACATCATCAAATCTTGGTGCAGCAGAAGATATGATACAAATGAGTGGGGGAGGCAATGCAGCATATTGATTGCATGACCGGTACTATTTGTTTCTGATTTGAGGATCATTAGCCAAAAAAGTTAATCAAACAATTCAAACCTATACGCCTCCTAAATTAGGACCATAAGATTAAAGAATGAAATAGAGGCTACAGGTTGCATCCCAAATGTGTTACAAGGATGCATTGCCATCACATGCCTAGTTACTGATCTACTTCTTCATGAATTTGCATTGCTCTTATAAATATAAATAGTTGTGCATCTAACCCTGCAAACTCAGTGAGTTTTCAGCTTTTTCGATCAAAATGGTAGGCTCTGTAAACTTTCATATCAGGTCCATTAGCTTGCCATCCAGGTTTCAGTCTAATTGTATTGAAGCAGAGCTGAAAAAGCTTCAAAATTTTGACTCATCCTCTGCTTCTGATACCATACAAACTGGGTTCACCAGGTTGGCGGAGTTATATAACAGCGTCAAGGAACTCATCCGGTCTCCTCTCACCCAACAAGCTCTTCACCGTCAGCAGCATGCAGAGCCGGTTGAAGTGGCAGTTGATGGGTCAGTAGCAATGTTAGATGCTTGCACTGCCGCGAGAGACATTATTTTGACCATGAAGGAGAAAGCTGAACACCTTCAGTCAGCTTTACGTAGGCGGGGTGGAGATTCCAGCATCGTAGACAACATCCATGCTTACATTTCCTTCAGAAAGAAGATGAAGAAGGAAATTTCAAAGAGCCTTACAACACTAACGAGACTGGAGAGCAATATTACAGTCTCCCTTCCTATCATGGATGCTGATTACGATCTATTAATGCTGGTAAAGGGTCTGAGGGAGTCCAGTGCCATCACTATATCTAGTTTCCGGTCTCAGCTTTTGTTCTTTTCAATGCCTCTAATGAAAACAAAGCCTGGTGGATTGTTTTCCAAACTGATCCCTGTTGCGGCTGAGAAAGGGCAGAAATTTTTTAGTGAAGTGCGGATGACAGACATTGCTGTCTGCAATCTCCGTGGAAAAATCCGAGAAGGCGATGCCAAGATTGATGTGCAAATGGAGCTGAGCAGATTGGAGACAATATTTATGATAAGATGAGAGGTTTTGAATCAGGTTTAGATTGCCTGTTCAGGAACCTGATTAGACATAGGGTGTCTCCCCTTAACATTCTTACACCATGATGTACATTCAATAGGTGATGGCATTGTCATTTTAGAGGAGAGAAGGAGTGTCAGTGTACATCGACCAAATTTTGTGATAGAATTATATAAGAATGATCTGTAAATTTTCATGTATCCACTAAAAATGCAAATTAAAGTTTGCTAGTTTAAAATGGCTTCTTTCTATCGGGGAAGTATTTCTTAATCTGGACCTCGACCAGTCTTTAGGGGAAACTGGAAAGTGTTGAATGGTTCGGACTAGTTTTCATTCATGTAAAAATGTGCTTGATTTACAGTAAGATATGATTGTTAGGAGGTCATAAGTTACCGCTATTTGATAATCAAAATTCAAAAGATTGTTAGATACAGTCATCACCTATGAATTAATAATTACAAAAATGATAAATTTGTATATATATATATATATTTTATAAAATAGTTTTAACTTTATACAATATAACGTGTCATTTTATAATTAACATATACATTCACTCATTTAATATTATATTATATTATATAAAATAATGTACCACAAAAATTATACTAAAAAACATTATATTTGTAGCATTAATTGATAAATTGCTAGAAGGCAATTTACTATTGTTACATCAGCAATAATATATTTACAATATCATAAAAA